AGTGCATGAATTTCATGCACCGGGCCTCTAGTTAGTGATTAACCCAAAGCAACTATGTTCCTGCTATGGCCAAGCTCAAAATAGCACCTGAGTGTTGAACTAGGGACAGGAGCTTGTGGAGTCAGAATGTGGCCTCTGGCAGTCTTTGTGAGAAAGAGCAGAAGGAAGCCCTTGGAAGGTTGGTGGGGAGGAAGGCACCAGCTCTGCTGGCCGCTGCAGTCCCAGCCAGGCCACATGCTGGGGGAGAGGAGCACAGATTGACTCAGCCCCTGCCTCAGGCACCCACCAGTTTGGTTCACCGAGGACACCAGACTTTGCGCACTAAAACCGGGGAATCCGGCAAGCAGGCCCGTTGGTCACTGTAGGGTTCCCCAGCACCAGCCACTCCCACCTTCTTGCACAAACGCAGAAGGCTGCCCAGATGGAATTATCAGGAATTCAGACTTGACAGCGACTGCAGATTCCTTTCCCAGGCTAACCGCATGCAGCCCATCCCGGGGTTTCCAGGGGACGCGCACTAGTTCCAAAGCACAGAGTGTTACCTTCCCCTTTGCCATAGGAGGAGCCGGGCGTCCAGGACTTGGCCTCCACGTATCCCAGCTCCCGGCAGACGACGTGGGCAGCATGGATGGAGAAGTCATCATCGCACACGGTGCCCCACTGGCCCTGATAGTACACCTCCACCCGCCCCTCACTGTGCTTCCTCTTCTGCCCCGCCAGGCGCAGCTGGATCTTGGGGACATCGGAGGGCACCTGAGGCCGGTGGTACTCGGGCGCGGGCTGCTGGAAGTACTCCGGGTAGTGGGGCCAGCTCTCGTACTGCGCCAGGCTCCGCAAGGGGAGGAGGGAGAGCACAGCCAGGCAGCTGCAGAGGCAGGGGCCTCCCAGCCTCGCCATGCCTACCCTCTGGCTGGACAGCCTCTCGGAGCGGGGAAGGCAGTGGGTGCTTCGGCCTACAGGCAGGAGTCTCCTAGAAGAGAGGAGAGATGCGGGTTACAGAACTCTCCAGAATCTCCAGGGACTTCCTACTCCAGTGATGGCGAACCTATGACACGCATGTCGGAGGTGACACGTGAACTCATTTTTTTGGTTGATTTTTCTTTGTTAAATGGCATTTAAATATATAAAATAAATATCAAAAATATAAGTCTTTGTTTTACTATGGTTGCAAATATCAAAAAATTTCTATATGTGACACGGCACCAGAGTTAAGTTAGGGTTTTTCAAAATGCTGACACGCCGAGCTCAAAAGGTTCGCCATCACTGTCTTCTCCTTTGCTTAGTAGGTAAAGCCCTTCACACTCTGACTCCAACTTCCTCTCTTCTTTCACCTTTCATTTCAGCCAGAAAGGTCTGTGCACTCCCTCCCCCTCTGCCCACCCACCTTCCCCTATCTCTGAATTGCTTTTTTCCCCACAAGATTCCTGGCAGAAAATGAAGCACACGAAGACTTCATTTGAGGCGAGTGTTTTAAAAGACTATTTACATCAAAATAAAAAGCTTCTGTACAGCAAAAGAAACCATCAACAAAACAACAAGAAAGCCCACTGCATGGGAACATATTTGCGCCAATGTTATCACCAATAAGGATTTAATCTCCAACATTTATAGGGAACTCATACAACT